TTTTGGTAGCAATTGTGAATGGCAGTTTGTTCTTGATTTGGCTCTCTTTAAGTCCCTTATTGGTGTATAGGAATGCTTGTGATTTTTGCACACTGATTTTATATCCTGAGACTTTGCTGAAGATGCATATCAGTTCCAGGAGTTTTTGGGCTGAGGCGATGGGGTCCTCTAGGTATACTATCATGTCGTCTGCAAATAGAGACAATTTGTCTTCCATTTTTCCTATTTGAATGCCCTTTATTCTTTTTCTCGCCTGACTGCTCTGGCTAGAACTTCCAGTACTATATTGAGTAGAAGTGGTGAGAAAGGGCATCCTTGTCTAGTGCCAGTTTTCAAAGGGAATGCTTCCTCCAGTTTTTGCCCATTAAGTATGATATTGGCTGTTGGTTTGTCATAAATAGCTTTTATTACTTTGAGAAATGTTCCATCGATACCGAGTTACTGAGGGTTTTTAGCATAAAGGGCTGTTGAATTTTGTCAAAGGCCTTCTCTGTGTCAATTGAGATAATCATGTGGTTTTTGTTTTTGGTTCTGTTTATGTGGTGAATTATGTTTATAGACTTGCGTATGTTGAACCAGCCTTGCATTCCTGGAATGACTCCTACTTGATCATGATGGATAAGTTTTTTGATTTGCTGTTGCAATCAGCTTGCCAATATTTTATTGAAGATTTTTGCATCTATGTTCATCATGGATATTGGCCTGAAGTTTTCTTTTCTTGTTGGGTCTCTGCTGGGTTTTGGTATCAGGATGATGTTGGTCTCATAAAATGATTTGGGAAGGAGTCCCTCTATTTGGATTATTTGGAACAGCTTCAAAAGAAATGGTACCAGCTCTTCTATGTGTGTCTGGTAGAATTCGGCTGTGAACCCATCTGGACCTGGGCTTTTTTTGTGTGGTAGGCTCTTAATTGCTGCCTCGACTTCAGACTTTGTTATTGGTCTATTCATAGTTTCAGCTTCCTCCTGGTTTAGGCTTCGGAAGACACAGGAGCCCAGAAATTTATCCATTTATTCCAGGTTTACTAGTTCAAGTGCATAGAGTTGTTTGTAATATTTTCTGATGATGGTTTAAATTTCTGTGGAATCCGTAGTGATTTCCAATTTATCATTTTTTATTGCATCTATTTGGTTGTTCTCGCTTTTCTTTTTTATCAGTCTGGTTAGTGGTTTGTCTATTTGTTGATCTTTTCGAAAAACCAGCTCTTGGATTTATTGATTTTTTTGAAAAGTTAGGAAGATTTAATATCGTGAAAATGGCTATACTGCCCAAAGTAATTTACAGAATCAATGCTATCCCCATCAAGCTACCATTGACTTTCTTCACAGAACTGGAAAAAACCACCATGAACTTCATATGGAACCAAAAGAGAGCCTGCATAGCCAAGTCAATTCTAAGAGAAAAGAACACAGCGGCGGGCATCACACTACCGGATTTCAAACTATACTACAAGGCTACACTAATCAAAACAGCATGGTACTGGTACCAAAACGGAGATATAAACCAATGGAACAAAACAGAGGCATCGGAGGCAACACAACATATCTACAACCATACAATCTTTGATAAACCTGACAAAAACAAGCAATAGGGAAAGGATTCCCTGTTTAATAAATGGTGTTGGGAAAACTGGCTAGCCATGGGCAGAAAGCAGAAACTGGACCCCTTCCTGACACCTTACACTAAAATTAACTCCAGATGGATTAAAGACTTAAACATAAGACCTGGCACCATAAAAACCCTAGAAGAAAATCTAGGCAAAACCATTCAGGACATAGGAGTAGGCAAGGACTTCATGAACAAAACACCAAAAGCATTGGCAACGAAAGCCAAAATAGACAAATGGGACCTAATCAAACTCCACAGCTTCTGCATGGCAAAAGAAACAGTCACTAGAGTGAATCGGCAACCAACAGAATGGGAAAAAATTTTTGCAGTTTACCCATCTGACAAAGGGCTGATATCCAGTATTTACAAAGAACTCAAACAGATTTACAGAAAAAAAACAAACAAGCCCATTCAAAAATGGGCAAAGGATATGAACAGACACTTCACAAAAGAAGACAGATATGAGGGCAACAGTCATATGAAAAAATGCTCATCATCACTGGTCATTAGAGACATAAGTCAAAACCACATTTAGATACCATCTCATGCCAGTTAGAATGGTGATCATTAAAAATTCTGGAGACAGCAGATGCTGGAGAGGATGTGGAGAAAAAGGAACACTTTTACACTGTTGGTGGGAGTGTAAGTTAGTTCAACCATTGTGGAAGACAGTGTGGCGATTCCTCGAGGCCTTAGAAATAGAAATTTCATTTGACCCAGCAATCCCATAACTGGATAGATATCCAAAGGACTATAAATCGTTCTACTATAAGGACACATGCACATGAATGTTCACTGCAGCACTGTTTACAATAGCAAAGACCTGGAATCAACCCAAATGCCCATTGATGATAGACTAGATTGGGAAAATGTGGCACATATACACCATGGAATATTATGCAGCAATCAGAAATGATGAGTTCATGTCGTTTGTAGGGACATGGATGAATTTAGAGAACAGAAAATGAAATACCACATATTTTCACTCATAGGAGGGTAATAAAAAATGAGAACACATGGACACAGGGAGGGGAGTACTAAACACTGGGTTCTATAGGGGGGAAAAGGGGATGGCCAGTGGCGGAGGGAGGTGGGGAGGGATAGCCTGGGGAAAAATGACAAATGTGGGTGAAGGGGAGAAAGGAGGCAAAACACACTGCTATGTGTGTTCCTATGCAACTGTCTTGCACGTTCTGCACATGTACCCCAAAACCTAAAATGCAATAAAAAAAAGTCTATGTTTTATCTAAATTATAAAGAATATTTTTGTTAGGCATAAAATTCTGAATTAAATTTTTTTCTGTACTTTAAGAATTTATTGTTTCTATCCTCCAGTATTTCCTATGAGAAATCAGCCTGCATTTGAATTATTACTTTCAAGATTTCTCACTTAAATTTTCAACTATTTGAACACAGCATGTCCAGAAGTGGTTCTCTTTATGTGTATGATTAGCCCTCTTCTTAGGTGTTTAAGTTTATACTTTACATCCATTTGGGGAAATTTAAGGGCCATGGTTTGTTTAAATATTGTTATGCTCCATTTTCATTATTCTCTTTTTGGGGACTTTAATTTTATTTATGTTGAATAGGCAATTTCCTTTAATCTTTTTATCTTTCTTCTTTAGACTAGATGTCTTCATTGTACTCTTGTCTAATTTACTGACACTTCTTTCATCTCTAATTTGTTGTGAGCGCATTCAATAAAATTTTAAACTGGGTACAGTGGTTCAAAGCTCTAATCCCAGCACTTTGGGAGGTCCGACACTGGGGGATCACTTGTGGTCAGAAGTCTGGCCTGGCCAAACACCATCTATACTAAAAATACAAAACTTAGCGGGTCTTGGTGGCACACGCCTCTAGTACTAGCTACTCAAGAGGGTGAGGCACTAGAATTGCTTGAATCTGGGAGGCAGAAGTTGCAGTGAGCCGAGATCATGCCACTGCACTCCAACCTGGGTGACAGAGCAAGGTTCCATCTCAACAAAAACAAGAAGTTCATTTTAGTTATTCTATTTTTCAGTTCTAGAACTTCAATTTGCTTTGATATGTATTTTCATTTCTCTGCTGAAATTCCCCATCTGTTCACTTATTAGTATTTTCCCTTAAGTCCTTGAACATAATTGAAATATCTGCTTTAGCATTTTCTATCCTCTAAATACAACTTAGCTACTTTACAGTAGGTTTCCATTTACTGCTTTTTGTCTTTTTTTTTTTAAAAAAAAGAAAATGGTTTATTTAGTTGGAGAGAAAAAGAGTGCATGAGCTCCCACGCTGTTGTGGACGGGATTACAAAAATAAAAATCCCTACTGCTTATTGTCTTGATTGTGGGTCACATTTTCCTGTTCCTATTCATATATAGAAATGCTTGATGATTTGCTAGGCAACATAAGTAAAAGACTATAAAGACTCTGGACAACTCCCTTCCTCAAAAGGATGTAATTTTTTGTTCTTGAAGGCGGTTCCATTTTTTGCTGACAATCCAATCCTAGGCTTAATTTTATGCTGTGTTAGGGTGGGATCCATGGAAAGCCCTAAATGTTTCTTATGGCCCTATAACTTGACAAGACTCAAACTCCACACTATGTGTTCTCACAAGGAATGCTGTGTTAGCCATGTTCCTGGTTTTATAAGGAGGACGTGGATGCTGAATGTTAATGTGTTAACAAGGTGTGAAAGAGGTCTTTCCACCCAGGAATGGCATGACTTGTAATGTCTCCCATCACCACTTGACTTCTAGAATCTCTGACCTCCTCATGGTCCTATAGAATTATATCTCCTTTGTAAGTCTGTAAGCCTCAGGTAGCGTTGTTATATACATGTAATGCAGCCTCAGCTAAAGACTCCTAGTAAACTCCCTCACAAACTGAGCTACTCCTCTTTGTAGCTCTCTCTTCCCTAGTTGCTTCAAAAGCTGTGAACTGGAGTCTCTGGTATTTCCAATTATCAAGATTGCCATGCTCTTATTGGCATCAATCTCCACAAAGCTCAGTTTAAAACTTTCCACAGACCCAAAGACATGGTGATAGCAGAGCTCACCTTATAAATTTTCCTTCTGTCAATTGCCTGCTGTTGCTTGAGATGGCTGTTTTCTATTGCCTAAAAGTTGTCTGATCTTACAGCTTAGATTTAGAGTTATTTATACAGAGAAGGCTAGTCTGGTACCAGGTATAATGGCCAGAAGCAGAAACCCTTTAATTATAGTTGACTTGTTTTTCTCTAAAATTAATCCATACAGTATGATATCAATATTTCTTATTTTTTATTAAAATTTTAATTTGTGAAATAGCCATCACTTACTCAGTTTTAAATATCTCTAGAATATTAATCACTCATAAGGTTGAGAAATCACCAAACTATATTAAATTAGAGCTCCATCACATTTTACATTTACCTTTAGTTTCAGTAACATAGTAACTATGTCCTATTTCCATGTTCTTCAATGTTTCTTGAAGTCCAGAAATCTAAAAAATAAAATTAAAAGAAATGAAGTTATATATTAAATGACTTTTTAAAAGTTACATAAAACACAATATTTAAATATCCATTGTAAAATATTAAAAATATTAATATCTTTTAAATTTATACCTAAGTATTTTTTAAATAAAACAAATTTTAACAATAGAAAAACATAATTTTAAATTAAAATATAATTCCACAGCTAATTATTAATTATTTTGGGCAAGCATCTGAAACATTTATTTCATGGCATAGTTTTCTGAATTAAAAATACTCGTTGCACAGTTTAATAATTACTCAATTCTCTATTTTGAGAGAGGTTTTTCATCTATTTAAATTGTTTCACAATAACTATCATCTTTATATTTATAAAATATAAGGTAATTATTTCTTGGAAAGTAAAATATGAAGAGGTTGTTTGCATTCCCAAACTCTTAGCTCATTTTACACCCAAATATATTCTCTACTTTATTAAACATGTCTTATAATTAAGAATATTTATTAGCTTGGTTCATGATTTACCAGTATTCCTGAAAAATAGACTTAAATTTAAAATTTGACCTTACAAAGCTATTTCATCTTGCATTGTATATGATTATACCAACACCAAATACCATCTGTTCAATTACATACAGATATAAGCTTTTTTGTACTATGACTGAATAACAATATTTTTTATTAACAGAAAATAACATAATTTATTAATTATAACCTACAGATGAGTGCTGATGAAATGCCTAGGTCAAGAAAAAGAGTAAAAGATTAATATCTATTCCTAGAAGCCAAAAGAATTACAAATTTCAAAAATAAACTTCTTATTTAGAATAGCTCAAGATGAACAGAATAATTGCTAATGTAGTACTGAGAATTCCTGTATGTCCCATACCCCTTTTCCCCAATAACATCAAACATTGTCATGATACATTTTTCACGAAAAATGAACCAATATTGATACATTGTTATGAACTACAGGTTATATTTTTAGTTTTATTCACTTTTCCATAATATCCTTTTTAAGTTTCAAAATCACACCCAGAATACCACCTTATAACTAGTTTTTAGGTCTCATTTTTCTCCTCTGGATGGGGCTAGTTTCTCAGAATGATATACTTTGGATATTTGTCCTCTCCAAATCTCTTGTTGAAATGTAATCCCCAATGTTGGAGGTGGGGCCTAGTGGGAAGTGTTTGGGTAATGGAAAAGATCTTTCATGGTCGGCTTGGGGACTTTCCTTCCCACTGTTCTTAAAAAATCTAGTTGTTTCGAAGAGTTTGGGAACTCCCTCCTCTCTCTTGCTCCCTCTCTTGCCATGTGACACACTTGCTCCCCATTCACCTTCCACTGTGAGTAAAAGCTTCCTGAAGCCCTCACCAGAAGCAGATGCTGGTGCTACACTTTTTGTACAGTCCGCAGAACCATGAGGCAAATAATTTTTTTTCCTTATAAATTACGCAGTCTTAGGTATTCCTTTATAGCAGCACAAAATTGACTAATACACAGATTTTCCCTGATTTTAATGTACTTGACCATTTTGGGGAATCTTAATCTGACACTATTTTACAGAATAGCCCTAGATTTGAGGTTATCTGATATTTTTTTCCCATGGTTAGACTAAAGTTATGAATTTGCAAGAAGAAGACCATCAGGGAGAAATGCCATTATTAGCATATTACACCTGAGGTACATGCTACCAACATGATTTAAAACTGATGATATTAACCTTGATCCTTCGATCACATGATAAGAAGGTTGCCAGGTCTCCTTACTGTAAAGTGACTTTCCACCCTATTTCCATTGAATTTCTGGATGCAAGTAATTACTTATTTTTTTAATTTTTATTTTTTATTGCATATTAGGTTTTGGGGTACATGTGCAAAACATTCAAGACAGTTGCATAGGTACACACATGGCAGTGTGTTTTGCTTCCTTTCTCCCCTTCATGCACATTTGGCATTTCTCCACAGGCTACCCTTCCCCAGCTCCGTCCCCCGCTGGCCATCCCCTTTTCCCACCTATAAACCCCAGGGTTTAGTACTCCCCTCTTTGTGTCCATGTGTTCTCATTGTTCATCACAGTGAGAATATTCGGTATTTCATTTTCTGTTCTTGTGTCAGTTTGCTGAGAATGATCTTCTCCAGATTAATACGTGTCCCTACAAACGACATAAACTCATCATTTCTGATTGCTGCATCATATTCCATTGTGTATATGTGCCACATTTTCCCAATGCAGTCTATCATCGATGGGCATTTGGGTTGGTTCCAGGTCTTTGCTATTGTAAACAGTGCTGCAATGAACATTCATGTGCATGTGTCCTTATAGTAGAACGATTTATAGTCCTTTGGATATATATCCAGTTATGGGATTGCTGGGTCAAATGAAATTTCTATTTCTAAGGCCTCAAGGAATCGCCACACTGTCTTCCACAATGGTTGAACTAATTTACACTCCCACCAACAGTGTAAAAGTGTTCCTTTTTCTCCACATCCTCTCCAGCATCTGCTGTCTCCAGAATTTTTAATGATCACCATTCTAACTGGCATGAGATGGTATCTAAATGTGGTTTTGACTTATGTCTCTAATGACCAGTGATGATGAGCATTTTTTCATATGACTGTTGCCCTCATATCTGTCTTCTTTTGTGAAGTGTCTGTTCATATCCTTTGCCCATTTTTGAATGGGCTTGTTTGTTTTTTTCCTGTAAATTTGTTTGAGTTCTTTGTAAATACTGGATATCAGCCCTTTGTCAGATGGGTAAACTGCAAAAATTTTTTTCCCATTCTGTTGGTTGCCGATTCACTCTAGTGACTGTTTCTTTTGCCATGCAGAAGCTGTGGAGTTTGATTAGGTCCCATTTGTCTATTTTGGCTTTCGTTGCCAATGCATTTGGTGTTTTGTTCATGAAGTCCTTGCCTACTCCTATGTCCTGAATGGTTTTGCCTAGATTTTCTTCTAGGGTTTTTATGGTGCCAGGTCTTATGTATAAGTCCTTAATCCATCTAGAGTTAATTTTAGTGTAAGGTGTCAGGAAGGGGTCCAGTTTCTGCTTTCTGCCCATGGCTAGCCAGTTTTCCCAACACCATTTATTAAACAGGGAATCCTTTCCCTATTGCTTGTTTTTGTCAGGTTTATCAAAGATTGTATGGTTGTAGATATGTTGTGTTGCCTCCGATGCCTCTGTTTTGTTCCATTGGTTTATATCTCTGTTTTGGTACCAGTACCATGCTGTTTTGATTAGTGTAGCCTTGTAGTATAGTTTGAAATCCGGTAGTGTGATGCCCGCCGCTGTGTTCTTTTCTCTTAGAATTGACTTGGCTATGCAGGCTCTCTTTTGGTTCCATATGAAGTTCATGGTGGTTTTTTCCAGTTCTGTGAAGAAAGTCAATGGTAGCTTGATGGGGATAGCATTGATTCTGTAAATTACTTTGGGCAGTATAGCCATTTTCACGATATTAATTCTTCCTAACCATGAACATGGAATGTTTCTCCATCTGTTTGTGTCCTCTCTTATTTTGTTGAGCAGTGGTTTGTAGTTCTCCTTGAAGAGGTCCCTTGCATTCTTTATAAGTTGTATTCCTAGGTATTTTATTCTTTTTGTAGCAATTGTGAATGGCAGTTCATTCTTGATTTGGTTTCTTTAAGTCTGTTATTGGTGTAGAGGAATGCTTGTGATTTTTGCACATTGATTTTATATCCTGAGACTTTACTGAAGTTGCTTATCAGTTTCAGGAGTTTTTGGTCTGAGGCGATGGGGTCCTCTAAGTATACTATCATGTCGTCTGCAAATAGAGACCATTTATCTTCTATTTTTTCTATTTGAATGCCCTTTATTCTTTTTCTTGCCTGACTGCTCTGCCTAGAACTTCCAGTACTATATTGAGTAGGAGTGGTGAAAGAAGGCATCCTTGTCTAGTGCCAGATTTCAAAGGGAATGCTTCCAGTTTTTGCCCATTAAGTATGATATTGGCTGTTGGTTTGTCGTAAATAGCTTTTATTACTTTGAGATACATTCCATCAATACCGAGTTTATTGAGGGTTTTTAGCATAAAGGGCTGTTGAATTTTGTCAAAGGCCTTCTCTGCGTCAATTGAGATAATCATGTGGTTTTTGTTTTTGGTTCTGTTTATGTGGTGAATTACGTTTATAGACTGGCATATGTTGAACCAGCCTTACATTCCCAGGATGAATCCTACCTGATCATGATGGATACGTTTTTTGATGTGCTATTGCAATCAGCTTGACAATATTTTATTGAAGATTTTTGCATCTATGTTCATCATGGATATTGGCCTGAAGTTTTCTTTATTGTTGGGTCTCTGCTGGGTTTTGGTATCAGGATGATGTTGGTTTCATAAAATGATTTGGGAAGGATTCCTTCTTTTTGGATTATTTGGAATAGTTTCAGAAGGAATGGTACCAGTTCCTTTTTGTGTGTCTGGTAGAATTCAGCTGTGAACCCATCTGGACTTGGACTTTTTTGGTGTGCTAGGCTCTTAATTGCTGCCTCGACTTCTGACCTTGTTATTGGTCTATTCATAGTTTCAACTTCCTCCTGGTTTAGGCTTGGGAGGACACAGGAGTCCAGGAATTTATCCATTTCTTCCAGGTTTACTAGTTTATGTGCATAGAGTTGTTTGTAATATTCTCTGATAATGGTTTGAATTTCTGTAAAATCCATGGTGATTTCACCTTTATCATTTTTTATTGCATCTATGTGGTTGTTCTCTCTTTTCTCTTTTATCAATCTGGCTAGCGGTCTGTCTATTTTGTTGATCTTTTAAAAAAACAAGCTCTTGGATTTATTGATTTTTTTGAAGGGTTTTTCGTGTTTCTATCTCCTTCAGTTCAGATCTGATCTAAGTTATTTCTTGTCTTCTGCTAGGTTTTGAGATTTTTTGATCTTGCTCCTCTAGCCGTTTCAATTTTGACTATAGGGTGTCAGTTTTGGATCTCTCCATTCTCCTCATATGGGCACTTATTGCTATATATTTTCCTCTAGAGACTG